AAACAATTAGACGAGCTGGATGGAATTAAAGCCAGAGGCCCTGATATCATCTCACCATAGATCTAAAAAGAGGTAGTTGTTGCATTGTGTGTACCCTTTCTTATACCCTTTAACTCCTCATTAGAAATGGTAAAATGGATTCGGTAGAGGAAATTTTTACTTGTCTATTTTAGAGTTCTAACATGGAAATCAGTCAAATCATAACAGAACGAAAAGGCAATGTGGAGGATTTGGGTGTACTCATGTTGGAAGACCTTACCTCTAAAGAACACAATAAAGTTGTCGTCACATCTGTAAGAAAAACGAAAGGTTGGATAACAAGAATCTTTCATACTACAGATGCTATATCGATGATGATACTTTTCAAAACGCTAGTGCTCTCTAGAGCACTAGCGTCTTGAACTGTATGCACATTATGCACTAGCTTACTGTTGCGCAATGACAGCTCCTTTCAAAACTAGAGAAATTGCTGACTTGGAGAGCGTGCAGAGATCCTTTACTGCTAGAATCCACTCAGTAAAACATCTAAACTATTGAGACCGACTAAAATGCATAAATCTGTATTCTCTTGAGCGCAGGCGGGAGAGATATATAATAATTTACACGTGGAAAATAGTAGAGGGGCTGGTCCCAAACTTGCACCCAGAAATAACACCACATGAAACCAGAGGCATGACAGGATGTGCAGATTACCCCCGTTCAACATGCTTCCATTACACATGTGAGGCATAACTGGCCGACCCTTCACAGTATTCAAGACAGAACTTGACAAGCACCTCCAAAAAATACCTGATGAACTAGGCTGACTCATACGTCAGGCTGCGAGCAGCCGTGACCAACAGCCTTGTTGACCAGTCCAGCAACGAGGAGGCCTGGTTGAGGACCGGGCCGGGGAGACGCTAAGCTCCGAAATCATCTCAAGGTAACTTCAAGGTAACCACAATGGATGAGGAACCTCAATTCTGCAGACCGGACAGTAGTCACAAACGCCCTGATGGAGTTACCCAGCAGCCAAATCCCCAAATCATGGAGACAGTAAACAGGTTGCGTGGGACTATGCCTGCCTCTACATTGGTTGATAGCTCTCTCTAATAGGTATTGGTACAGCACTGATACTGTAGGAGCCGGTCGGCCGAGCGGACAGCACGCTGCACTTGTGATCCTGTGGTCCCGGGTTCGATCCCGAGCGCCGGCGAGAAACAATGGGCAGAGTTTCTTTCAACCTATGCCCCTGTTACTTAGCAGAAAAAAAGGTACCTGGGTGTTAGTCAGCTGTCACGGGCTGCTGCCTGGGGGTGGAGGCTTGGTCGAGGACCGGACCGCGGGGACACTAAAGCTCCGAAATCATCTCAAGATAACCTCAAGATAAGATACATTGGTACAGTATGGGGTGTGGGGCTGCTACCTACAGGGATTACATTCCCGTGCCAATAGGAGTTGAGACCCCTGGGTGCCTGGGGTAAATGTGCGTTTCAGTTCCTGAAGAACGCGGGAACGGAACTCATTAGGCAAGTCAAAGACTGAAGAGAAGCAAATTTCCTGTTCCAGCGCCTCAGTGTCGCTATTCAGAGTGGAAACGTCAGCTGTATCTTGGACACGCACAACGCCTCTGCAGAGTTGGATTTAGTTTTAGAACAGTGATTGCTACATATATGTGTGTGTGTTCTGTAAGCTATAACACAATGTTGAAAACTAAATATTTATTAAATTACATAGTAAATTGTAAATAATTTAATGAATCGTTTGTATTTTAAAGCGAAAAGCACACCTATACATGTCTTAGCTTACGAATGAAACCACTTGAGGTGACATCTCCGCATGTCACTGCCCCTTGACTTCTTGAAATGACCTTCCAAATCCTTAGAGGGTCTTATCGGATATTCTAAGAGCTAATCCCTGAATCCCAGGACTCAGCCACACAGGTTCCATTAGGGAGGCAATAGTGCAAGGGCAGGGCTGTAATATTTGGTGGTAAAGGATTGGTTGCAGAATCTCGATATCTTGAGTCAAACAATATCTATTAAAAAACTAAATTGATTGCTTCACTGAAATCAATGACGCAAACTCGTGGATTTCGGTCGCATAACGCAACTTCCCATGAATGATCGAGATTATATGACGGTGAGCTATTTGTGAGCTATATATTTATTTTATATCATCTCTAATACATATTTATGCTTAGTTACATTGAAATTGATTATTTGTGGCAAGAGACCGGCAGGTAATTAAGCAGGACTCTATAATATAAGTTTTGTTCTACCCTAATAATTTTAATAGACTTAACAAATCACTTCACAAGCCTACTTTTGGCTTTATTAAATATGCACATTTATGTAAGAAGCAATCAGCCATTACGTCATAATCTTTTATATACATCTTAACTACATTTTTTTATTATTATCTTTGTTTTCTCTCTCTTTTGTTTTGTAAATTGACCACTGACGTCATCTGGATCTTCTCTCATTGCTGTAAACTCAACACAACACGACTGGTAATGGCTTCTCAGAGTCGGCGGCCGGAAACCTCAAAGTCTTAAGTCTCTTTCACCAATGACTGACCTTCCTCAGGACGCAGCCCACAACAGATGCCTGACTCCCGGGTACCTGTTGACAGATAACTGAACAGAGGCATCAACATGCGAGAGGAAACGTGCCCAAACGTCTTTGTCCAGTTTTGGAATTCGAACCCTGACTCCTCAAACTTGAACAGAGGACGGAGACCGTTTCTCCACTGAAGCCTATTAACAGCCGCGGATGGTAGTAAATCACGGGAATAGTCGAGCCTAGCCCAAACTATCCTTCCCAAGTTGTGGAATCTATCCTTGTTCTGCTCAAAGATTTCTTCTTGATATTAAACTGTCCAGACTTCATAAGTTTATAAATGACTTCTGCCTCCTGGTACCATGTGTAGACTGGATACAGCAGTCTACGCATGAAGTGTACATGTATGGGTGTACATGAATCAATTGAGTTCCTTGCTCAAACGGTACAAGTCGGTTTCCCAATGGTATTTTTTAGGTCGTAAAATCTAATTTACTTAATCGAACATAATCTAATTTAATTCAACCGGTCCTAGTCTAATCTAGTCTAATCTACTCTAATCTAATTTAATAGTGTAATGTACTCTAAATTCAGTTCGTCCTCCTGAGGTTTCTCATCGTCAGAAAATTGTCGTACTAAGTTGGCCATATCATAACCTACCAGAGGACCCAGAGCAGAAAACGGGACCATATGTCACTTCACAAGCCGCTACCATTTGCTAGTACGACGATTTCTGGCCTTATATTGTGTATAGGTCAAAATACGATGTGTTATTAGGAAGATGGGTTATTAAGTTAACGATATATGAGTGTTTAACAATTAGTAAACGCGCAGTGTGTGAAACGTTGGTGATGGATTGGCCTGTACACCGGCTGTACGAACAGCATAGGAATGTTGTTTTAAACATGAAGAAAGATTTACCAGTCTGACCGATATAAACACATGCTCAGTCATTACATGAGATGTAGTAGACACACCTGCTACAGACGAGGGCGAGTTCCTAATTAACATGAACTTAACTTTATTATTATTTTTGAGCACTGGTTAATAATATTAAGGTTTTTTAGGGGCGGGGCAAGATTTTATAGTCCATCAATATATGATAATATCAACGAGATTTTTGTTTCTGGCTTAGACTTAGGAGCTTGTCTGTAGAACGTGCTTTTCACTTGACCTAAATATACGAAACAACAGACATAATATTGCATTGTGTATAGGGGATAGGAGAGAGAGGGGAAGGGAGAGAGGGAATTATGAGGAGAAAGTACTAAGGCGTCTGGGAGAGGGAGGATGAGGGCACCTACGGGCCAAGTGTCAAAGAGATCAGCTTTGAAACTCTTGCTGAGGGGAATGCATAAGGCAAAGGGAGGGGGCGTGTTTAAGAAGGTAGCGTGAGAGAGGAAGGGTTACAGAAGTAAACAAAGGGATTGTGGAGGGGTGGTGAGGATGTATTTAAGGGAAGGGTAAGGGAGGAGAAGTAAACAAAAGGCGTAGAGAGAGAGAGAGAGAGAGAGAGAGAGAGAGAGAGAGAGAGAGAGAGAGAGAGAGAGAGAGAGAGAGAGAGAGAGAGAGAGAGAGAGAGAGTGACAGACATATATATAAACAGGACGAACGAGTCAGATATAAAGAACGAGAAATGTGTGTCAGCGTCCCCGAGGTCAATGAGAACCATCTATATTCATCTAGCACGAGTCGACAAATTGTCTCCACCCTCGACCCAACACAGACACAAACCTCGCCTGCAGAAGAGAGAGAGAGAGAGAGAGAGAGAGAGAGAGAGAGAGAGAGAGAGAGAGAGAGAGAGAGAGAGAGAGAGAGAGAGAGAGAGAGAGAGAGAGAGGTCCCCAGCACCACACTGCTTCCCAGACACACTAGTCCAACCACTTGGGCTGGACGGTAGAGCGACGGGCTCGCTTCGTGCAGGTTGGCGTTCAATCCCCAACCGTACGAGTGGTTGGACATTATTCCTTCCTCCCTTTCAATTTAAAGTGAGTTCAAACATAATTTGCCTTGCTCCTGGACCGGTGACCAATTTGGTCTGGCTCCCTGCGAGACAACAGACCACTTTGGTCTGGCTCCCTGTGAGACAAGAGACCAGTTTGGTCTGGCTCCCTGTGAGACAAGAGACCAGTTTGCTCTGGCTCCCTGTGAGACAGGAGACCAGTTCGAGCTAGCATACGAGGCTTGGGAACTGGCGCGCCATTAACCAGTATGAACAAGAAGCGTGAGTTAATCTGTTGTAAAGATCAATAGAAACATGTATATGAAAATAGGTAAATAGGGATAGGAGCAAAACTTGGAGAGCAAGACGGCAGAAACAGGTGAGAAGGGGACGGGGACAGAAATAGGGGAAAAAAACCATGATATATTTCCAAATACTTTAGTAAAATATATATAACTCTGCAATGTGCAAGTTCCGAATGACAAAAATTATTGTAAATTCTATTTTTTTCTCCACAGACAAGCGGTACTTGGACGGCCAGCTGTACAGGATGCCAGCCACCAGCAACAAGGAAGGTGAGTACCGTACCTCGTGGTACCTCGTGGTACCTCGTGGTACCTCGTGGTACCTAGTGGTACCTCTCTACACCCAGCGGTACACCTCTACACTCCCTGACACACCCCTGCTGCCCCGGCCCACACTTCTACACGTCGTGAAAAGGCAGGGGATGGGGTGAGGCAGAGGCTGGGGTGAGGCACAGGCTGGGGTGAGGCAGAGGGTGGGGTGAGGCCGAGGCTAGGGTGAGGCAGAGGCTGGGGTGAGGCAGAGGCTGGGGTGAGGCAGTGGCTGGGGTGAGGCAGAGGGTGGGGTGAGGCCGAGGCTAGGGTGAGGCAGAGGCTGGGGTGAGGCAGAGGCTGGGGTGAGGCAGAGGCTGGGGTGAGGCAGAGGCTGGGGTGAGGCAGAGGCTGGGGTGAGGCAGAGTGGCTGGGGTGAGGCAGAGGGTGGGGTGAGGCCGAGGCTAGGGTGAGGCAGAGGCTGGGGTGGGGTGAGGCAGAGGCAGAGGCTGGGGTGAGGCAGAGGCTGGGGTGAGGCAGAAAGGCAGAGGCTGGGGTAAGGCAGAGGCTGGGGTAAGGCAGAGGCTGGGGTAAGGCAGAGGCTGGGGTGAGGCACAGGCTGGGGTGAGGCAGAGGGTGGGGTGAGGCAGAGGCTAGGGTGAGGCAGAGGCTGGGGTGAGGCAGAGGCTGGGGTGAGGCAGAGGCTGGGGTGAGGCAGAGGCTGGTGTGAGGCAGAGGCTGGGGTGAGGCAGAGGCTGGGGTAAGGCAGAGGCTGGGGTGAGGCAGAGGCTGGGGTGAGGCAGAGGCTGGGGTAAGGCAGAGGCTGGTGTGAGGCAGAGGCTGGTGTGAGGCAGAGGCTGGTGTGAGGCAGAGGCTGGGGTGAGGCAGAGGCTGGGGTGAGGCAGAGGCTGGGGTGAGGCAGAGGCTGGGGTGAGGCAGAGGCTGGGGTGAGGCAGAGGCTGGGGTGAGGCAGAGGCTGGTGTGAGGCAGACGCTGGGGTGAGGCAGAGGCTGGTGTGAGGCAGAGGCTGGGGTGAGGCAGAGGCTGGTGTGAGGCAGAGGCTGGTGTGAGGCAGAGGCTGGGGTGAGGCAGAGGCTGGGGTAAGGCAGAGGGTGGGGTGAGGCAGAGGGTGGGGTGAGGCAGTGGCTGGGGTGAGGCAGAGGCTGGGGTGAGGCAGAGGCTGGGGTGAGGCAGAGGCTGGGGTGAGGCAGAGGGTGGGGTGAGGCAGAGGGTGGGGTGAGGCAGTGGCTGGGGTGAGGCAGAGGCTGCGGTGAGGCAGAGGCTGGGGTGAGGCAGAGGCTGGGGTGAGGCAGAGGATGGGGTGAGGCATTGGATGGGGTGAGGCAGTGGCTGGGGTGAGGCAGAGGCTGGGGTGAGGCAGAGGCTGGGGTGAGGTAGAGGCTGGGGTGATGCATTGGATGGGGTGAGGCAGTGGCTGGGGTGAGGCAGAGGCTGGGGTGAGGCAGTGGCTGGGGTGAGGCAGAGGCTAGGGTGAGGCAGAGGCTAGGGTGAGGCAGAGGCTAGGGTGAGGCAGAGGCTGGGGTGAGGCAGAGGCTGGGGTGAGGCAGTGGCTGGGGTGAGGCAGAGGCTGGGGTGAGGCAGAGGCTGGGGTAAGGCAGAGGCTGGGGTGAGGCAGAGGCTGGGGTAAGGCAGAGACTGGGGTGAGGCAGAGGCTGGGGTGAGGCAGAGGCTGGGGTGAGGCAGTGGCTGGGGTCAGGCAGAGGCTGGGGTGAGGCAGAGGCTGGGGTGAGGCAGAGGCTGGGGTGAGACAGAGGCTTTGGTGAGGCAGAGGCTGGGGTGAGGCAGAGGCTGGGGTAAGGCAGAGGCTGGGGTGAGGCAGAGGCTGGGGTGAGGCAGAGGCTGGGGTGAGGCAGAGGCTGGGGTGAGGCAGAGGCTGGGGTGAGGCAGAGACTGGGGTGAGGCAGAGGCTGGGGTGAGGCAGAGGCTGGTGTGAGGCAGAGGCTGGGGTGAGGCAGAGGCTGGGGTGAGGCAGAGGCTGGGGTGAGGCAGAGGCTGGTGTGAGGCAGAGGCTGGGGTGAGGCAGAGGCTGGGGTGAGGCAGTGGCTGGGGTGAGGCAGAGGCTGGGGTGAGGCAGAGGCTGGGGTGAGGCAGAGGCTGGGGTGAGGCAGAGGCTGGGGTGAGGCAGAGGCTGGTGTGAGGCAGAGGCTGGGGTGAGGCAGAGGCTGGTGTGAGGCAGAGGCTGGTGTGAGGCAGAGGCTGGGGTGAGGCAGAGGCTGGTGTGAGGCAGAGGCTGGTGTGAGGCAGAGGCTGGGGTGAGGCAGAGGCTGGGGTGAGGCAGAGGGTGGGGTGAGGCAGAGGGTGGGGTGAGGCAGTGGCTGGGGTGAGGCAGAGGCTGGGGTGAGGCAGAGGCTGGGGTGAGGCAGAGGCTGGGGTGAGGCAGAGGGTGGGGTGAGGCAGAGGGTGGGGTGAGGCAGTGGCTGGGGTGAGGCAGAGGCTGGGGTGAGGCAGAGGCTGGGGTGAGGCAGAGGCTGGGGTGAGGCAGAGGATGGGGTGAGGCATTGGATGGGGTGAGGCAGTGGCTGCGGTGAGGCAGAGGCTGGGGTGAGGCAGAGGCTGGGGTGAGGCAGAGGCTGGGGTGATGCATTGGATGGGGTGAGGCAGTGGCTGGGGTGAGGCAGAGGCTGGGGTGAGGCAGTGGCTGGGGTGAGGCAGAGGCTAGGGTGAGGCAGAGGCTAGGGTGAGGCAGAGGCTAGGGTGAGGCAGAGGCTAGGGTGAGGCAGAGGCTGGGGTGAGGCAGAGGCTGGGGTGAGGCAGTGGCTGGGGTGAGGCAGAGGCTGGGGTGAGGCAGAGGCTGGGGTAAGGCAGAGGCTGGGGTGAGGCAGAGGCTGGGGTAAGGCAGAGACTGGGGTGAGGCAGAGGCTGGGGTGAGGCAGAGGCTGGGGTGAGGCAGTGGCTGGGGTAAGGCAGAGGCTGGGGTGAGGCAGAGGCTGGGGTGAGGCAGAGGCTGGGGTGAGACAGAGGCTTTGGTGAGGCAGAGGCTGGGGTGAGGCAGAGGCTGGGGTGAGGCAGAGGCTGGGGTGAGGCAGAGGCTGGGGTGAGGCAGAGGCTGGGGTGAGGCAGTGGCTGGGGTGAGGCAGGAGGCAGGGTGTGGTGCATGCATTCATGTACCGTACACCTTCATGTTATGGTACACGGTACAGTACACCTTCATATTATGTACACGGTACAGTACACCTTAATGTTGTGGTACACGGTACAGTACACCTTAATGTTGTGGTGCACGGTACAGTACACCTAATAATGTGGTACACGGTACAGTACACCTTCGTGTTGTGGTACACGGTACAGTACACCTTAATGTTGTGGTACACGGTATAGTACACCTTAATGTTGTGGTACACGGTACAGCACACCTAATGTTGTGGTACACGGTACAGTACACCTTCGTGTTGTGGTACACGGTACAGTACACCTTAATGTTGTGGTGCACGGTACAGTACACCTAATAATGTGGTACACGGTACAGTACACCTTCGTGTTGTGGTACACGGTACAGTACACCTTAATGTTGTGGTACACGGTACAGTACACCTAATGTTGTGGTACACGGTACAGTACAGTACACCTAATGTTGTGGTACACGGTACAGTACACCTAATGTTGTGGTACACGGTACAGTACACCTAATGTTGTGGTACACGGTACAGTACACCTAATGTTGTGGTACACGGTACAGTACACCTAATGTTGTGGTACACGGTACAGTACACCTTCATATTATGTACACGGTACAGTACACTTTAATGTTGTGGTACACGGTACAGTACACCTAATGTTGTGGTACACGGTACAGTACACCTAATGTTGTGGTACACGGTACAGTACACCTAATGTTGTGGTACACGGTACAGTACACCTAATGTTGTGGTACACGGTACAGTACACCTAATGTTGTGGTACACGGTACAGTACACCTAATGTTGTGGTACACGGTACAGTACAGTACACCTAATGTTGTGGTACACGGTACAGTACAGTACACCTAATGTTGTGGTACACGGTACAGTACAGTACACCTAATGTTGTGGTACACGGTACAGTACAGTACACCTAATGTTGTGGTACACGGTACAGTACAGTACACCTAATGTTGTGGTACACGGTACAGTACAGTACACCTAATGTTGTGGTACACGGTACAGTACAGTACACCTAATGTTGTGGTACACGGTACAGTACACCTAATGTTGTGGTACACGGTACAGTACACCTAATGTTGTGGTACACGGTACAGTACACCTAATGTTGTGGTACACGGTACAGTACACCTAATGTTGTGGTACACGGTACAGTACACTTTAATGTTGTGGTACACGGTACAGTACACCTCAACTTGAATCCTGAAAGTATTGGAATTCTTTCGTAAAGATTGAATAACGTGCAGGAATTCTGATATATTATATTTAATATTTCTTCCATTGGTTGTAGTATACGAACTGGGTTTCAGATATTGATGCTATGTGTTGTAGAATAGAACTCGTAGATAGATTTTCGATGAAAATGTTAGAATTGAAGCCCAACTGATAGCAAAATATATTATTGAATTAAAAAAGAGAGATAAAAAATTATATCTGCACTAACTTCCAAAACTTTTTCTTAAAATAGCACCAGAATCTTTTCTAACATTACACATAAATGAATAAACGTTTTCTATAAAAGTTCTTAAATGAACTTCACACTATAAACACAAAACAAAAAATACCAAAATATATTAATACAGTACACCTTCATATTATGGTACACGGTACAGTACACCTTCATATTATGGTACACGGTACAGTACACCTTAATGTTGTGGTACACGGTACAGTACACCTTCATATTATGGTACACGGTACAGTACACCTTAATGTTGTGGTACACGGTACAGTACACCTAATGTTGTGGTACACGGTACAGTACACCTTCATATTATGGTACACGCTGCAGTACACCTTAATGTTGTGGTACACGGTACAGTACACCTTAATGTTGTGGTACACGGTACAGTACACCTAATG